TAAGACATTAGTCAGAGGGAGGACTTCAAATATAAGAACTAAACAACAGCTGTGGACTTATTTTTAAATTGTATTTATTCAATTAATATTTTCTTTTTAAAAACGAGAGAAAAACACTCCCAGCAAATGGCCACCCTTGCCTCTGGCCCCATAACCATCACAGATTTTGCTAATGTGGAGAAGCAAAAGGACCACTAGATGGAGCAGGTACAAAAGACATTTATTTATAGTTCAAGGAACCCCGGCAGTCTTCAAGAGATCTTAAAAGATCACCTTCTGAGTAAATGGAAGCTTCGTGAAGCTGAGTTACTTCAAGAATGTAGAAAATCAGCACTAGAACTTCATTTAGCTACTCACTTGTGTGCTTTCCACCAAACCATGCGGACTGGGGAAAATTCTTTTTCTTCTTAGAGAACATTACCAGCAACACTGAATTCCAGCTTTTTCACATGTAATAGGGCTAAGCATGGTGTTGAACATTGAGGGACTTATTTTAGGTAATGGGCTGAGATACTGCAGATCTACACATTTACAGATTTGCTGACAGGGTCCTCCTGATGGGCTCTTTCCATTGTCAGGTCAGGATAAGAGGGGAGTTATCACCCACCCTGGAAATTTGCCTTTTTAATGCAGGCCGCCGGCTACTGTCTCCCCCAGCAACAACCTCCTGAATAACTGTCTTAAGTAAGTGAAGGTATTCTTTTGGGATGAATCCATACGCGTTTGGATTTAGGCTTTGAGGATGAGTGGGCAGACGGGCCTGTAGGTTGTTTCCTTTAACCTGGTAGGCCGTCAGTTTCTTTTCCTTTCTGAATGAAAACTAGATCCAAATGGGAGGCAGGGGTGGTAATAGATTTCCCTGTAAACTTCTTTGCCGTTCGTCGCCACTCAATACTTTGCATCCACAGGCAGAGGCAAAGAAAATTAACAAGCCAGCACCATGAAGGAACACACTTTCCACTGTTTTGAAATCACACTAGCTCTAGTTAACAAATACTTATGAAATGTTTAACAATCCCGCACCCGATGGAGAGGACTGGCTGTGAGATCTACTCTCGGAAACGCAAAACTTCCAACAAAAGCCGCAGGTCAGTGAATACACGAGGTACACATGGGCAACAAAAGCAGAAACAGGGGATTAGGACAAAAACCCCGCAAAAGAGCTGCTTGGCTCACTGCCCATTCACCTTCACCAATTTCATAAATGTTCTCCACGCATTCTTCTGCTAACCTGCACGCACCCTGGTCGAAGGTATGGCGATCCACAGGCCCACCACTGACGGCGAAGGGAGGCCGACGCGCACAAAAGGAGCCCCCCCCCCGCCCCTACCCTTTCCCTTGGGAAAGGCGACTGCGGGCCTCCGGCAGCACTCGGCAGGCGGCATGTGTCTGAGCCCAGTCCCGGGTGCAAGTCCCACAGCTCAGGGAAGCGCACCGCGCGCGGGGACCTGCTCCGTTTCTCTCCCTGCGGCCAGAGCCTCGCCCTCGGCCCCCAAGCGACCCGCGGCTGACAGAGCCCAACTCTTCGCGACGGCAATGGGTGCTTCCGGAGAAGCCCCGGGCCGACCGCGGCCTCTAGGCGGGCCGCGGGGGCTAAGGAGGCGAGCCACCGCAGGGTCCCGGGAGGGGCGAGCAAGCCAGCAGCTGACATTTTTTGTTTGCTCCAAACCGGACGGTGGACGGCGGCAGGCCGAGGCTTTTCCGCCCGCTGAAAGTCAGCGAAAAAAACAGCGTGCGGGAAATAAAAGCGCGGCGCCTACGCCTTTCTCAGTTAGGGTTAGACAGAATCTGACCGCTACCCCTCCCGGGCCCACCCTCCGCAACCCGAGGTTCACCCCGCCGCGGCTCCCTATAAAGAGAGCGGCGGCCTCGCGCGCCGATTGGCTAAAGCCCGCCCGTCGCGGTTCTCGCGAGATCCGCCCTCGCCGCCGCCGCCGCCGCCGCCGCAGCCACCACAAACCCGCCCCCCCTTTTTTTTTTTTTGGAAAGTTCTATTTCCGGCCATGAGGACAGTCGCGCCCCTCCCCCACATTCCCTAGGGAAAGCGTTAGGTCTTTTCCGACCTACTTTGAAAGTAAAAACAAACTTGCGCTACCGCGCCCCTCCGTTTTCCATGCCTTAAGGACGGGGCTCAGGACGCTCGACCACCTTAAAAAAAAATGAAGTTCACAGAGAAATATTAGGGCCAGGGAAGTAGGACAGTGATTCTCAACTCTAATCACATGTTACAGATTTTTAAGATAATGGATTCCTGGACAGCCTTGGCTAAAGCAGAATGTTGGCTGGGCTCCTTGGACGGCCTTGGAGTTCCTGCCCTGCTCCTTTCTCCTTAGAAGGCCTCTCTGCAACTTCTTCTTGAACATAGGATGGGTTTTATCAAGTATAACTAAGTTTTATTAATTTAAGATTAAGATTCTTAATCTTAACATTCAAGATTTGAGTCTACCTTTTATAAGGAAATAAAAGCTTTTCAGTCTTTGACTTTGCTTTAATGTTGAGTCCTGATTAGGTTAAAAATCCACCATAAATTGTACCGAGTTTCTGTAATGATATAATACTGTTTGACATATAACTGGCTGATCCTAATTATAGAGTTCATGTTCAGTTGGGTGAATTCTATGGAGTTGTCGCTATTGACACCTCAATCTGAAAGAAAGGCGAAATGTTAGAGGGGTTGGTTTCTGACGATTTTAAGGGCAGGGAAAGTATAAACGTGACTTTCCATTTTATTCCCTGTCCCTAGATTACTTGCGGTTGTCGGGATAACTACCTGAGACCAGGGTTTAGGATAGTTTGCCTGCCTAATGTAGCAAGCAAGCTACTTTGGGATCGCTTTAACTTAAATGTCTTAACCTTTTTAAATTTCAATTTCTTAATTTGTAAAATAGGAATAATAATTGTCTTGCCCATCTCTCTGGGATGTTGAAGTTTGTGTGTGTGTGTTTTAAGTTTATTTTTGAGGGAGAGATAGAGTGAGAGGAGGAGGGGCAGAGAGAGAGAGAGAGAGAATCCCAAGCCTACTCTACACTGTCAGCTTGGAGCCCAACACTGGGCTCAAACCCACCAACTGTGAGGTCATGACTTGAGCTGAAGCCAAGAGTCTTACGCTTAACCAACTGAGCCACCCAGGCACCCCTGGGATGTTGAAGTTTTAAATTAGATAAAAGGATAGCCCTATTTTCTTCTAGAAAACAGTTTCAGAATTCTGAAGAATGAGTTCATGCTGTCTACAGTGTGAATCTGGTGAGTGCAAGCATCACAAATGCTTGACTCAGGCCTACTTCTACCTGTACCATGTGCCCATCATTTTTACACCTTGGAATTTTTGTCCTAATGTTCCCTCTGCCCAGAACTTTCTTCTGGTCAATCCTCCATATCTTCATGCCTACTGGGAGTGCAGCGTAGAGAGCATCAGGGAAGGGGATAGAGCTGAAAAGGGAAATCCCACAATCCTTATCTTCTAAGAATATATCTAGTATGGGAGAAAGACAAGCAAACTAAAAGATAAGACTGCAGAAGTTAAGTGGTCAATAGAAGAATAACAATGCATCGGAGGACACGAATTTTGACTGCATGGAGAAAGTAGCATCTAATTCTATAACAAAAAATAACAGATTTCATTGTATTTTAAAAGTATCTAGGGGCGCCTGGGTGGCTCAGTGGGTTGGGAGTCTCAAGTCATGATCTCACAGTTTGTGGGTTTGAACCCACCTCAGGCTCCGTGCTTACAACTTGGAGCTTGAAGCCTGATTTGCATTCTGTGGTCTCCCTCTCTCTCTCTCTGCCCCTCCTCCATTGCACTCTGTCTCTCTCTCAAAAATAAGCATTAAAAATTTTTAAAAAGTATCTTTATGGACTTTATCCTATTTGAACTTTACAATGACCCCATGAGACAGAATGGGATTAGCAGCCCCACTTTATGGATGAGGAAATCGATCTTTAAAATGTTCGTGCAGCTGGTAGGTGGTAGAACCTAGACCTAAATCCACATATGCTGCTCTTGAATTCTGAGGAAAGGGCACTGCATTAGGTTTAAATTCCAGCTGTCTTTCAAGTCTAGCCCCAAAGCCAAATCTACCAGAAAGTCTTCCATAAGACCTCAGGGTATTTTCCTCCCTATGAACCCACAGACCATTTTATACTTCTCTTAGGACACCAAATCACTTTCTATCTAGTATTATTACAATTAAGGCATAAATCTCACCTCTTATACTAGACTGCTGACTTCTTAAGGACAGGATCTTACTCCTGATTTAGCATTCATTGCACTTAACACAGTGCTTTGCACAGAGCAGATACTTTGAGTTATGTGAATACTGCCATCATGCTCAGGAACCCAGGTCATTTTAGACTCCCCTTCATATCTAATTAGATCCAAAGACTTGTCAGTTTTTTGCAATTTCTTCTTTTGAACTCCTATTGTCTATAATCTTGAGTCTTATGACTTGACTACTTTCTATCTAGACTAACAATTGGTTAACTGATCACCAAAATCCAGGGCCTTCCCAGACCAATTTATCCTCCAAACCACTGCCACATTCATCTTAACTTAATTTCCTATGTTTTCTGCTTTTCATTCTTTAATTGTTCCCTTTTGCCTGTAGGACATGTAACACAAAGCCTTCCATTCCAGTCCTCGGGCCTTAATTTACCTTCCTAGTCATTGCTCTTAGTCTGTTCCATATGAGCTCTTTATTTCAATAAAACCAGTCTACTAAGCATGCCTTAAATATGCTTTGTTCATTCTCATCTCTAGCCCCTTGTTCATTTCCATTATGCTTTTCTGGATATCTGCTCTTTCTCCTCCTCCATCACACAGCCATCCTAAGGCCACCCCACGCATGCTGGCATACATGGAATGGATGTATGAAATCTTTTCTCCCGGCAACTGTCTTTCAAAAAACCTCAACAAACTTAATCCGTATCACTCATTTGGCACACAAGTTGTACTACAAGTTGCTCTTTTTCCAAGGGAAAGATGAGATCTGCAAGGTCAAGAATAATGTTTCCTCTAGCATTTAATTTGGTTCTACTCAAGAAATATGTTGTTTGCTTCACCCATCACAAAAATGCAAGAGACATGGACATTCTAACAACTGAAATACTTTCTGTTCTCCCAGATACATATAATATCCAAAGTTTTGTCACATATACTCCAAACATTTTTTTCTAACCATTTTATCTGTATTCAGAAGCATCTTTGATGTACTATGTTAGGTCCAACTTCATTAAATTCTGCCTTAGTGACCCACATGTCCTGGAAAGCAGACAGGGATGCAAGAATAGAGCCTCCCATCCACACTGATAGTTTCCTTTCTGGGGGAACTGTAACTTGCACAGGTGTATTGGCAGGTACCATATTTGCTACACCTTTAACTAGCCGCTTGTCTAAACCGGGGAAAGAAGTTGATCCCCCAGTAAGGATAATATTGGAGAAAAATGAATTCCTCAGATCTGTATCACATTTCATTATGCTGCTGAAACACAACTTATCGATGCCAGGGGTCTCAAGATTCATAAGATGTGGAGAGAAGAGGGCCTCTGGACAATGAAAGAGTTGGTCATAGAGCTTGATCATCTTCCCATCAGGTAGTTGGTAAACTTTCTCTATAGAATCGCGTTTCTTGGCCATTTCCTCTTCGTAGTTCATTACAACATAACAAGATGTTTCCTTAATGTCTACAACAATCTTTCTGTCTGCAGCGCTAAGCAGCATGATGCCATGTTCCTTCAACAGCATCATGAGGTAGTTGGTGAGGTCAAGGCCTGCCAGAGCTAGCTGCTGGACACCATGAGGCAGGCAGTACCCCTCAAAGATGGGCACACACTGGGTAACCCCAGCACCTGAATTCAGCACAAAACCAGTTGTGAAGCCAGCAGCAAAGAGAGCCAGCACCCCCTGAATAGACATATAAAAGGCAGGAACCTCCAGCTGCTCAAAAAATACTTCAGTGATCTGTTGCCGGTTGGCCAGTGGGTTCAGTGCTGGCTCCGAAATCAACACGGGGCCATCACAGGCCTTTAGCTTCAGGTTATGATCATAGATATGCTTCCACATGACCTCCATGTCCCCCCAGGAAGTAATGAGACCACGCTCCACTGGGTAGCTGTAGGAAAAGCAATAAGAAAAATTACAGCTTTTTTTTTTAATAGCAGCTTTTAATTTTTTCAGCATCTAGTCTCTTCAAACCTGGGTTAATCCCTATATTTATTACCAGTAGTCTTTGTGGGCAGTGACTGTCACAACCAGTCAGAGAAGGTAACTGCTAGCAAAAGTTGGCATAGCTGACTTCCTCTGCAGTTTTTGCTGCTTTCCATTTGTCCCCGCTTTGGAAGACAAAGAATCTTTAAAACAGAAAAAAGGGTGGCGGGGGGGAGTCTTCGGGGCACCTGGGTGGCTTAGTCAGTTCAGCATCTGACTCTTTTGTGTGTGTGTGTGTGTATTCATTTTTGAGACAGAGAGAGACCAAGCATGAGTGGGGAAGGGGAGACACACACACACACACACACACACACACACACACACACACACACACAATCTGAAGATGGCTCCAGCCTCCAAGCTGTCAGCCAACACAGAGCCCAGCACCAGCGCGGACTCACAGAGTCTGAGATCATGACCTGAGTGAAAGTCAGACGCTTAACTGAGTGAGCCACCCAGGTGACTCTCGATCTCTATTCAGGTCAGGAGCTCCCAGTTGATGGGATCAAGTCCCAGGCTTTATGCAGAGCCTGCTTGGGATTCCCTCTCTCCCTCTCTTTCTGCACCATCCCTGCTCCTCCTCTCTCAAAATAAATAAACTTTTTAAAAAAGTTTAAAAGATTAGGAAATCTTTACATAATAGTACAGTTTAAATATCAATTAATTGAAGAAACTAACCCACAAGGCGAAAGTGATATCCTTAAATGAACTTGTATATTATGAACGGTAACTTTATGCATCGAATACATCTGCTTAGATACAGAGAGCCAGTAATGTTCACCCTTTAGATGTCTGGTGTCCTCCGAGATCTGTGGCCTGCACCAGCGGGCTGAAACTTTCCTGTTCCTGTCTTCCTTATCCTCTCACCCTTATGCCCCTTATCTAGACCCTCCCTCTTTCCCCTCGACCAGGGTCCTGACCCCTGGGAGAAGACAGTACCTGATGGACAGCGAGTTTCTCCGTTCCTGCGCTTGGTCACCTACATACATTTCCAGCCCGCCCTCCGCTACACGGCCCTGTCCTTTGGCCCGGCCAATAATGTTCGGGTAGACAAACTGGGGCTCCCGCGACCCGGCCAGGCCTGCCTTGATCACTCCTGAGCCGTTGTCGATCACCACTGGTAGCTGGTAGTAGTAGCTCATGCCGCCGCCACCTCCTGTCGCCCGGCCGCCCTGGCTGCGGGCTGCGCTGCTGGGGGACCAGGCGGGGGCGCGGAAAGTGCGCAGCGCGGACCCTGGGGAGCGTCAAAAGGCCCACGCCTGGAACGTCGCGTCACAGAGGCCCTGGGCTGGCCACAGGGCCTGCGTCAGGCAGGCCCGGCCGGGAGAGCCCAGGCCCGTTGACCCTCCAAAGCACTGCCTGCCAATTGCATCTCACATGGGCTGAGTCACTTGCCACCGCCTTGGAATCCCGGGATACCAATATCAGGAAAACCCAACTTTCTTCCCTAATGATACAAATCTAACCCTTCGCAAGTGGCTCTCCCTAATAACCTCGATGAGTCATAAAAAGTTTTCTTTTCCAAAGCCTTTGAATTCTGGTTAATAAGTGTCTGTCCTTGGGCATGTGCAAAGCTCTAGAATGTGCCCTTGAACCTAGAAAAAGGTGGAGAGATTTGACTGGAGAAAGTTGTTGCAGAAGAAGCCCGGTATGTGCTTCTGAAACCCTTGTCAACTTCTGAAAAGACAAAGGGAAGAATGCTAGGATTTAAAGTGGGTTTTATATAGTTTTATTATTGTTTCTATACGCATGGCAAATATTTTGTTGTGCTTCTTTCCTGTAGTTTCTAAGCAAAATGTAGTCAAAACCGAAATGGTAGAAGCTAACTTTATTGGATTGATTTGTAGTAATCTCATCTGGTTATCCCCTGTGTGATATGAAGGTCATTCCTATTTCCTAAAAAATACAGGTCATGGTCTCACAGTTTCCTGAGTTTCCTCAGTTCACTGAGCGTGCAGAGTCTGATTAGTATTCTCTCTCTCTCTCTCCGCCCCTCCACCACTCTGTTGTCCCTGTCTCTCTCAAAATAAATAAAAACTTTAAAAAAAAAAACCAACTTGATTTTTAGGCATAAGGATGTGTCTCCCTCTTTGCAAGAAAAGTGATATTCCATAGGTCATACGAAGTTTAAGTTTAAAAAATTTAAGTGCATTGTGCGCCAAAAGTGCATCTTTGGTGTCTGTGTTTTACCCCCTCAATTTAACACACTTTGTAGAGGATTTAAAAACACCTCAGCAAGTTCGAACCTCTGGTTGGTCTTTGAAAGCAGGGGAGGAAATTCAAAAGTTCTTTACTTGCCTCTCCGCCAGAGGCTGAAAGGGTGACCTTACTACATAGCAGCGATGGCACTTGGTGCTACAAGCCTCTGCAAGAGGAGGGAAGCCACAGAAGCCCCGCACTACACCGTCTGCTTCTCAGCAACGCCTCTCCAAGAAAGGATACAAAATAAAATATTTCTTTCCCCGAGAAAAAGTGTACCAAAGGAAGGGCAAGGCGCGAGTACTTGGTTTCTGCAGCGGTACGTAGAAGTCTGAAAAAAAGTGCATGCAAATTCCAACTTTCAGAATAGTTTCAGCATTATACAATTAGGCATATAGTTCTTTTCCTTTTCTGGTTGTCTTGTTTTGTTTTTTTCCTTTAAAAGCTACCTTAATATTTAAAGTCCTATGAATTTCTCATTGCTACTTCCATATGAAGCACTTTCTGAGCCCCGGTGGCCAGTACAGTTTCCGTAGTGTAGTGGTTATCACGTTCGCCTAACACGCGAAAGGTCCCCGGTTCGAAACCGGGCGGAAACAACTTTTCTCCTCAGCCATGAGGTTTTATTTTATAACAGCAACTTGTTGAACCGTGGCAATTTAAGCTTTCATCTTGGTTGGTTTTATTTTATAATAGCAACTTGTTGAACCGTGGCAATTTAAGCTTTCATCTTGGTTACCTTATTCAGTGCATGTTTTTACTGACAGCTTGCCATGTGGAAGTACTTCAAACTTTAAAAAAGAAATTCAAATCACAACCTACTACTGAAAACTAAGGTACAGCCTTAGACGAGGAGCCCAAACAGCGGAAAAACCCTTAACCAAGTTGCCTCCAAAGCACCCTTTTCCAGGTCATTTGGTTTTCCATTACTTTTCCCCTTCATAAGCAAATTCCTCTCATTACCAGACCATGTTTTACTCTTATTTGATACATACTTAGTGTCGTGCTTAACACCTGGTGGAGACTCATATTTCTGAATAAACTACCAAAAGGGGTTCCTACAAAATATAAAAGTGGAATCATAAAGATGTAATCTAGGGTCAGCCTCAACTTTTCGCCTTATAAACATTATCGTAGTGTCTTTCTTTATTCACGAATATGATTCTCACCGACCAGAGAAAATTAAGTTGAAGAGCAAACAATATCGTTGGAAAAAAATCTCAGAAGAAACGGGTAAATTCCAGTTGAGATTGTCTTTTAAAATAAAGTCATTGAGTAAATACCCTATAGTCCTGACACATTTCTAACAAGAAAAAAACGTAGTTCTGGTTTTCTGAGAATCATGATATCCGCAAGTACTAGCGGGAACATTTACCCTAAAATATCAACACGACTTATCTTACTGTTTCTGTGCCTTTTATACGTTATGCAGATAACTGGCATCCTTTTCCCTCGCTGTACAAAATCTGAATTCGATGTAAATCATTGTGTTAAAATGCTTCTACTCCAGACGCAGCTTTCCCGTTATTAAGCCCACCTTCCTGCAACGTGCCCTACTGCTTTGCCCCGCTTTCTTGCATCTCAGACTTTTAATACCAGGTAAGGATATCCTGGAAACTAGGCTACAGTTGACTGATGCAAACACAATTCAGGGGTCCCAAGAGCTTACGGGTACATAAACTGAAGAGGGGTGATCAAGATCAGTTAAAAAAAATCCCCTATGGCCAGGAGCCTAAGTACACAAAGCAGCTGTTTCCACTCGCAGGGTCCGGGGGAAGGAGAGGATGATGGGAGAAACATAGAAAACTACAAGCCCCAGCATGCAGTGCGCAATCTGGCTCCGGGAAACAGGACCTCCGTGCGGTGCTGCCCGGCCTCGGCCCTGAACGCCAGACGCTGACTGGCGGCCGACCAGAATATTCAGACTGAGGACAAGCGGGGCGCTGTGAATGAGCCCTTAAGTCCCGTATCCATGACTTTCTCGGTTTCGCGGGGAACCCTGGTATGCAGGGGAGTGGAATCTCTGCGGGCCAGCCCGCTAAGTCCTTGCCGGTGCCGCACCTCCGCAGTCCCCAGAGTCTCCAGCGTTTCCTCGGGACGCCCGGGCCGGATATGAGGTCGCCGTAGAGGAAGAAGGAAGAGGCGGAGCGCGGCGCGGTGACGTCCTTCCAAGATGGCGGGGAGAGCGTGAAAAACTGTTGCCCCTTGCATTGCTTTAGGTGAGTTCTTTCTTCACGCCCCAGCTTGCCAATTCTGCTCTCTCCGGACGCGGGGTCAGGAGTGGGCAGGCTTCTTGGAGTTCGAATTCAGGTGGAGGCGAAGATATTAACGTGGAAATCTTGGGCGAGGCAGCCGCGGTGTTGGCTTTGGCCACAACCTCTGCTGTGGGAACTCGCGGTAGTAGTGGGAGCTGGGCGAAGGGCAGTGCGACAGAAGCCGGGACAGACTGGCTTTGCTTGTCACTTTCGCTGCGGTCGGGAGAGAAGGGGGAAGAGAGGGGGTGTGGCCTCCTCCGGGCGAGTGAAGTGACGGAACCTTGACAACTCTGGCTCTGCTCTTTCTCCGCCTCCTGGGCACCCGCCCCGCGTTTTGAAGCAACTGTGTGCACCACGGAAAACAGGTTGCGGTGATTTGAAACAGTTTTAAAGAACTCATACTGTGTTTTTTCCCCCATCTGTCCAAAAGAGTTATTTCTTCGTGTTTCATCTCCCCCCAAACATATCCCCCCAAACATATCCCGGCGCGCTGAGCTCGGAAGTTTGAAGGTTCAACTGCTTGCAAAAGCGTGAAATCTTGGGGCTCGTGGAAGTGTTTTCACGCATCGCCGTTTTTTGATGTGTCCAAAAGATTGTGTTACTTGACCAAAGATAGACACTTACCTTCAGCATTTTTAATCAGTCTGTTTGGTAATTTTCTGTGGGGATAAATGAGGACTGACTTTATTCTTGTTCGTGTTGTGTCCTGTGTTCCTTCACCCCTTACCAATTGCTTGGGTGAAATGTTTGATGAAAACTTAGGGTTACTGACTTACTATTTTATTTCTGTCTTTTAGAACAAGGGTAAAATTCCATTCTGATATCAAAATGCAGTATTCGCACCACTGTGAGCACCTTTTAGAGAGACTGAACAAACAGCGGGAAGCAGGTTTTCTTTGTGACTGCACCGTAGTGATTGGAGAATTCCAGTTTAAAGCTCATAGGAATGTGCTTGCCTCATTTAGTGAGTATTTTGGTGCGATCTACAGAAGCACTTCTGAGAACAATGTCTTCCTTGATCAGAGTCAAGTGAAGGCTGATGGATTTCAGAAACTGTTGGAGTTTATATACACAGGAACTTTAAATCTTGACAGGTAAAGTACACATTCTCTTTTCACTTATAAAAGCTGGTCAACAGTCTTTAAAGCTAAGATATATTTGTAGCTTTTCCATTCAGTCCCTTAACTTCATATATTGCTGTGACAGTGCTATTGTTGTTTTTAATAAAGATGTCAGTATTACCGATTTGGGATGAACCGACTACATTTCTTAAGCCCCAAAGCACAGATGTTAATTAAAGCCCTCTTTTCTGACACATTTGAGTTATCTATGGAAGCAAAGCCTGCAGTTACAGTTATGGAAACTTGAAGATCAGACATAATGAATTCTAAGTGAATTCCAGTTTCCTTGGTCTTTATATTCCTCGGATCTCTCTTTCTCGCTCTGTCCCCTGCCTCTTAAGGTGCTTGAGGTAGTAGGGGAGTGTAGATGAAGAAGGATGATCCTCCGTATTCACTTAATATATTCCCATTACTTTCCATAGATAACAATGAGCAAGACCTCTTCCTGATCTTGATTCAAGAAAATAAATTCCTTGGAATGTAAATGGCAGTGACTCCTGTTACCTCTATAAAGCTATTAATGCTTACACCAGATCCATGGTGTTAGAATGCTTCGCTGAAATGCTCAATACTGTCCCCACTAACAGGAATTCTAGGGAATTTAATAATGAAGTCACTGTATGTCTCCCATGCA